CTTGTTTAGCAAGAGATGAAGGTTGTCTGCTTGAGACAGAAATGCCCTGCCCCAGAGCAGCAAGGGGCTCTGGGCTCAGCCTCTTGCAGGACTATGAATTGGTAATTTTCCAGAATTATGGCATGAGATGGAAAAAAAGGAAAGGATTTTCCTTTGGGATTAAATAATGATATATATTTTCCTCTGAAAAGGCACGTTGAATTATCCTGGATAAACTAGTATTCTGACAACTTAGTCTACCTGTTCTTTTACTGTTTAGAAATATGGAACAAGATCGGATCTGCAGTGGCATAATTTTTCACATTGCCGTGACTACTTTGTGCCGTATCTTGTTATTATCATGTGCTTCATTAAGTTACATTAGTCATCTGTTTCTGAACCAGCCTGTTGGGTTCTACTAAATAATTTCTCAATTTCTCCCTATAGAAATTCAATCAAAAATATGTTTTCATTCCCTTGGAAAGAAATCTGATGTTTAATCAGAAATAACTAATCTTGAATTCGGTAAGACTTTTTGATTATACAAAGGACAAACCTCTCCTTTGGTTCAAAAGTAAACTGGTCTCTGCCTGACAGTGATGAAGACAGTGCCTTTCCCTCTTTATTCTCACAGTAGTGAGATACCATTATTAACGGTGACATACTACTATTAACTGTTAGTTACAAGCGGTTTTACTCTGAAATAGATGGGAGTCAGAGGTCCCTTCTGCCTTTGGTAATGTTGTTTCATAATTATTCAACTGAGTATTTTGCAATTGCTGAGGAATACCTTCAGTGCCAGTAGCTCGGTGTGCAGCTGCAGTGTGAGCTGCAGGTTGAGCTTTGGGTGTTAGGAGCCTGAGACAAGAGGCCAGGAGCTGGCACCAACCCTCTGCAGAACAAAGGGACCTGTGGCACCAGCCAGGTGACTGAACACCCAAAGACACAGTAGGAGCCGAGGACTCAGCTAGAAGACAATGGATTTTCATGCACACAGACTGTGAGGGTATAAAAGCACAGAAAGTGCTTTTTGCCCTCCCCAGAGGCATCAGCTCAAGTTGTTTCTGTGTCACTGTGCCATGAATGAATTGCTTTACGGAACAAGACATCTGAGATTCTGTTATGGGAAACCTGGGGTGAAGCTGGTGAGGAAACCTGGTCTGGCTATGTGAGTGTGGGGTGTGTAGGGAGTCAAGTGGGGCACCTGTTGGCTAACTGGAGCCACCTGCTGCAAAGGGGCCTCGGTCTCAGCAGTAAAGGTCTCTGGTGGTGGGAGTGTGACTGCCAGAGTGGCTCCTGGATGGTCAAAGAAGTTTCCTTAACACCGCGTCATCTAAAATTACAGTGAGCTTTTATGACCCACATCATTTTGTGATCTACACGCTTTCTTTGTTGGGAAATTTGTCAAGGAGAAAAGGATCTCCAATCCTAGACAATTAATCCTCTGGTAAAGTCAGTCTGTTCCTATCCTGTATAGGTGTCCTCAGACTCTTCTCAACATTACTAAATATGTGAGCTGGTTTAGGATTATTCTTATTTTCTAATCATGCATAAATCTTAAGCCAATCTGCAGATCCTCTGCTCTCTGAGGTAAAGTGCTTCCTGCTAGTCCTTCTGGTGTTTTTCATTCACATGGTAGTGGATTCGTTACCATATTTCCCAGGGAACATTTATAGACTGATAGGCACCCTCTCAACAATTGCAATGATTTTTAGGGAAATTAAACTTTGAGTTGATCTTGCTTTATAGCACCATTTAAGCTTTCTTTGTTTTAATCAGTCTTCCAAGAAAGGAGGGAATTAAGTCAGGTCACTGTTTTTAATTCGCAAAATAGCACTTAGATACTCACCTCCTGTAGTTCAAAAAAAAGAAACAGGTATTTTGAAGACAGAGTCACTTTGACTAAAGGAACAATCCAAGTCTGCTGAATGTGCCCCACTGGTAATTTCAGCAACTGGAAGCCTAGGCTGTCTTACAAATGTGAAACTAGCTAACATTTGTCATGCTATGTTCCATTCTAGTTTAATTTGTTGTATTTCAGCATTATACATCACTGCAGATGATTTTGAGCTATAAAGTAATGTGCAATGATTTGAAATTATTTGGAAAGGGATTTTATTGTAAAAACTTGTTTCTTTCTGTCACACAATGTTACACAATATGAAAATGTGAAGTACATTAATGCTGAAAAACCAATATAGTATTTTCTGCAGCTCAGGCATACAGTTAGAGCAGAGCCTTAGGCCACCTTCAAGGAATATTTGCCTCAGGCATTTCTCATGTTATTGTCTGCTGTTTGACAATGAGCGGTTCAATGCCTGAATGTCATGAAAAATTGTAAGTATTGTAATTACTTAAATTCTTTATATCCTTTCTTCTGCATTTGAAAAGCATTACTGAATTTATTCAACTGAAAGGAAACGACTAGAGCAGATATTAACAAAACCAAAATATAAAGCCTAGTTTTTCACCTAAACTGTTTCTTGAACTAAACTCTCGACCAGTATTAGTGTTGAAAGCGTTAACAAATTGTCCGCTTTAAAAATCATAGGAAGATAAAATTAATGTTAAAACTGTTCCTTAACAGTGTTCAAACACACATGAAAATTCACTGACATCTTTTCATCCTAAGAAAATGTTAATTAGAAAACATATATTTATATATATAAAGCTACTATAAAACAAGTTAGATCTAAATTTATATGACCTGCACATTTTGAATTAGATTTGAAAGTTCATTGCTGCAAAATCAGTATTGCATATGATTTATGTGATATAGACTATTTTGATCTATTTTTTTAAAAAGGAAAAGTAAAGATTTTAAATTTGAAAAAGGCAGAATACCCTTTACATTTCCAGTCAACTTGAATGTAAATGGCTTGCTTTACTGGATGCTATGATATGGTAAAGCTCCCTACTTTTCTATAGCTTTTCTAAATTAGGTATAATTTCAAATACTGTGTACCATTTTGAATATAATTACAAAATTGTGGAATGAAGGTTTGAAAAAATATATTAAAGGACAAGAGGGTTGATTTGCATATTGTGCTGTCAAAGGAACTCAAAATCTAAACGGTTGTAAAGAAAACATTAATGTAAATGTATTTAACTAAAAGATTCATGTGTTAGGATAGTAAAAGAATATGTATTTTATCTAGGATTATTTAGCATCTAAGTTTTTAGGAAAATAAATTAAGAAAACAAAGAAGTTGTTTGTTTGTTTGTTTGTTTGTTTCTAAATTGAGAGATAGTGAAAACATTAGCTAAGACAGAAAAATACAAACCCACAGATTAGAAAGAATTGCTTATTACACTAGAGAGAAAAAGTCCTGAATGATATTGCATCTTTATTTGAAGCACTGGTATTCAATTTAAAGAGAAAATTTGGAGAAGATAAAGAGTAAAAGAAAATAAGAGATGATGGTTTGCTGGAAACTTGACTATGAATCTGCAGTCAGGCCTGCACCACATACCCAGTAATGTTCCTCATAAAACTAGCAATGAAAAATTTTTTAACATACACCATTATGTTACCATTGTGTTACCGGATAAAATTCTCAGATAAAAATACTGTCATGGATCCTATGACTGTTACAAAGAGAATAATAGTGATAAATCAAAAGGAACCAAGAAATAAATTGCAAAATGGTCATGAATTTGTGCAGAGACATAACTGAGGGTAGGCAGGAAGGAGACATGAGTAGCCCAACATTTATAATTAATAACCTTATAGTAAATAAGGTTACTGATTAATACTTTTTCCATGATTCCATGAAAGTCTAATGCCAATTTTTGCTCTGATATGATATAATTATCATATCAAACACCTTGATGGAGAAGAGGCTCAGTTATTACATGGACACTGAATAGATAGCGGAAGAAGAGAAACTTTCAGAAATGAAAGACACTTACTCAGTAAGTGATATATTTCTGGAAACAAAGATATTGAAAAAAGAGATGGTGAAGAAATCTTTTATGACTGGTTGATGTCTTTGGAGATGGCAGAGACTCTGAAAGAAAACTGCAGCATGTATTTGGAGGATCTCTATACAGATTGCTCAAAATTCCAAGAGCAGGAATTAGGGAACAAACATGCAATATTATTAGGAAGATGAAATGAATGAATGATTAGATTATTACCCTACAAATGACTAGGTATCTCTAGAAGACTTGTAGGTGCTTTTAAAAATCCAATACGTCGTACCTAATCAGTATTTCAAACATTAATCAGAGGGAGGACCTGTCACTGATTCGCTTTACGCAAAAAGGCTCATTACAGAGGATGATTGTAATATCAGAACTACCACTGAGATGTACCAGACTAAAATCTGAAGTGTCTTGTCTGCTAGAGCAAGAAATCAAAGCCTGTGATTTCATTAATCTATATCATTAACTTTTTGTTCTAACTGCAAGTGGTTTTGTACTAGAAATATAAACATAATGGGGGAATATTTTGTTAGAAGTAGATTTCATAAAAATGTACTCCCTCTCACACAATTTAAACATTTTAAATAACTTTAACATGTATTTTAAGATATTAAGTGTTTTCTATGAGGTCCACTTATTCTTTTGAAAACTTGGTAAAGGTGTATCTAGCCATTCTTGGCACAAGACCCACAGAAAACTCTGGTGGTTTTATTTTATATTTTATGTGTATTTTTTTCAGTGTCCTATACAATACAATATATAAGGATTCCTAGAAATACAGAGGATTCCACTCTGCTTGTCAAATGCCACAACAGTAAATGAACAAGTAATTTTCTTCTTATCTTCTTTCAGCCCAACTTCAACTCTCTTTCACAATTATGTCTCATCTAAATTAAAAGATAAGAGTTTAAATAAAAAGTTCTTTTCACTATAATCAGAATGCTCGTGTATAGGGTGTGACTGGCATGGGATGGAATTAACTTTCTCCACAGCAATGCTTATAGTGCTTTGTAGCCAGGATGGTATTGATATCACACGTCTGTTTCTGTTATTCCTGAGCAGTGCTCATATAGTAACAAGATTGCCTCTCCTACCACTCCTCACTCCGGCTCCAAAGTCACGTGGGCTGGTTGTGAGCAAGACCTTGGCAGGAGACTTATCCAGGATTGCTGATCCAAACTGATCAAAAGGTTATTCCATGTCATACGATGTTGTTTTCAGCAACAAAAGCTAAGAGAAAGGAGGAGGAGGGAGGTATTTGTTATTAAGGTGTTCATATTCAGAAGTAACTGCTACAAATGCTGAGGCCCTATTTCCCAGGAAGTGACTGGACATTACCTGCTCTTGGGAAGTAGAGAATAATTTTTTTTGTTTTCCTTTGCTTCCATGTGTGACTTTTGCTCTTCTTCATTAAACTGACTTTATTTTGATGCACAAGATTTTCATTTTATTTTCTTCCCCGTCCTGCTCAGGAGGAGACCCCTATAGTGACTTCTTGGGCACCTGGTAGCCATTCAAGGTCAGCCCATCACAGTCCTTGACCAAGGTGGAGCAGTTGAAAATTTGAGACAAGGACAATAATTGGGAGAGGTAACAGGCAAAACATTAATTGAACGCTCCCAGAGAGCAGAATAGTTGTGGGGACTTTTTTTTTCTTTGTGATGATAATGAACAGACAAGGGGTGAAATGTGTGTAACTTGTCCATCTTTGTTGTTGTGATGATGTTATTTTGACTTCGGTGTAGGAAATTATTTTTGCTAATCTTACATAATTTCCATGGCAAGGTTTTTGCTAGTGCAGACGTTATAAAAGGGGCTTTTGTGAGAAGACATCAGAAGCTGCCCCCATGTCAGATAACAAATTCCCTCTGGCTCCAAGATGGCCTTACTGCTGGCAAAAGATGAGCCCATCAATAATGTTGGTAATGCCTCTGTGATAACATATCTAGAAAGGGTAAAAAAACAGGAGAAAGCAGTGGGAAAATTTGAGAGAAATGGTCCTGCAGACACCAAAGTCAGGCAAGAAGAATAGAGAAGAGGTGTTACAGGAGCTGGAGCAGATATTGCCCTGCAGCCCACGGAGCAGACTATGGCAAGGCAGGGTGTTCAGCTGTCATCCATGGAGGTCCATGGTGGAGCAGATATCCACTGCCAGCCCATGGAAGACCACATGCTGGAGCAGGTGCATGTGCCCAAAGGACACTGTCACCCCATGGAAAAAACAGAGCAGGTGTCCTTACAGAACCTGGGAACCCTTTGGGGACCCAGTGTGTTCCTGAAGGACTCTACCACATTGAAAGAACCCATGCTAGAGCAGTTCATGAAGAACTACAGCCCATGGGAGGGACTCATGGCGCAGAAGTTTGTGGAAGACTGTCTCCCATGGGTTGGGATGTCACACTGGAGCAGGGAAAGAGTGTGAAGAGGAAGAAGGAGCAAAAAAATGTGTGATGAACTGACCATGATCCCCATTCCCAGTTCCCCCTACACTGCTCAGGGGAGAGGGAGGAGGTAAATGAGTCAGGTGTGAAGTTGATACCGGGAAGAAGTGGGAGGGAGGGAATTTGGCTTTAGTTTTGTTCTTATTTTTCACTATCTAAAATAAAATCGTGCTAATGCTTTCTTAACTATTTTACCCCATATTTGCTTTATTTTTACATATATATTCTTGGATGAGCTATCTTTAGACAAATGATGACTGTGCATATGCAAATACTGACAGCTCACGTTGCAAAGAAGAGTGAAGGTATAAGAATACATGAGAAACATACCTCACAGTTTGTGATTTCATATGCTGAACTGAATCTTCACCTGCTTTAAATCAGCTCATAAAAGGCTATGTTGCAAATCTTTGAACTTCTCTGACTTACTACTCACATACACCTGTCCTAATCACACCAATGGCTCATGACCAACTGAAAGGCCAAACTGCATGACAAGTAAATCTATTTTTCACACTTATTTTGACATGTTAACAATTATATTCTTATAACTATAATAGATAGCCAAGAATTTTTAAAAAAAAATGTTCTCAGCTTTTTACAGAAAAAAGTAACAAGAATACATATATATTACAATAATGCATTTGAGCAGTTTTTAAAGAGGTAGACTATACAATTACTGTACTGTAAGAGTAAAAATTATGTGAAGGAGTTAGAAACAACTCTCATGGACATAGGGGACATTATTCACACAGAAATATTTTCAAGGCTATAACTACTGTGCAGAAACAGAGTCTGAATATTCAATTTGAACTGCTATTCTATCAGTTCTGTCAAAAGACTAGGTATATTAGCCCGATGGCATACATTTTATGTAGCATCATTTCAAACGCTAAAACATTTGGAAGTGGATATGAAGTTCTTAAGCAATTGAGAACACACCAATTCTGGCAGATGTGGAGTTGTTCGCTGTTTATCATGGCACTGAGTGAATGCCACACAGAATTAACAGCATTTATAATTTATGTTATCTGCAATGCCATATTTCTTCATTGTAGCCTGTAATTTTGTTGCAGTGGCTAATGCTGTCTTTCTTTTTGTTCAGTAGTTGGGTAAGGCTCTATCAGTAAAAGAATATGGTAGCCTGGAAATGGAAAAAAACAGCAAACCTCCAAGTAAACAAATGAATAAAAAAAAGTCTCAAGATAAGGTACTGGCTTTATGTTGGCTTATTCCTTCATTGACTCAATTTTCAATGGACTCACAGCACTTCAGACTGGAGAAGCATTACAATTGCTGCAGCCAAGTATAATGCCACACCCATATCAGTAGAATGACATAGATTTACAAAGGTAAGGATTCACTTTTAATCATATTTCTGTTGCTACAAGCTTAAAACAGCCATAACTTAATACAGGCTCCTGAATTCCTTAGAAATACTTAAAGTCACCTCATCATGGACTGCTCCTATCTGCTTTTTGTCAATCTATGAGAACGAAGAATCTCTGACAACGTGTTTCATCACCATGAAAAATGAAATTTGCTATTTCCGTTTCCCAGTGTGAACCTAAGAGCTGTCAAACTGTATTCCTATCCTTGCTTCTTTTATCTATTTATTTGCACTGGGACAGACAAAAACAGTTACAGAGAGCATAGGAGGGAAAAGCTAGGAAAGAAGGAATCACAAATGGAGTTAATATTTGAAAAATTAATTATCTTTTCTTAAGAGATGGGCAAACTGAATTAAAAAACAAAGATATATCTTTCATCATTAAAATTTTACTTTTAGAATTAAAATCAGAATTCACATTTTCCTTCCTGTTCCTGACTATTTTCCTGTTCAGCTTCTGAACAGGAGTCATAAAATCATGGAATATTCTGACTTGAAAGGGACCCACCAGGTACATTAAGTCCAATTGCTGACCCTGCACAGGACACTCCAAGAATCACACTAAGTGTCTGTGTCTGAGAGCATTGTCCAGATGCTGCTGTGACCAATTCCCTGGGGAGCCTGTTCCAGTGTCCAAACACACTCTGGCTGTAAAACCTTTTCCTGATATCCAACCTAAACCTCCTCCAACTCAGCTTCATGCTATTTCCTTGAGACCTGTCACTTGTTATGAGGCTGCAGAGATCAGTATCTTCCCCTCTGCTTCCCTTCAAGAGGATGTTGAAGATCGCCATGAGGTCTCCCCTCAGTCTCCTCTTCTCCAGACTGAACAAACCAAGTGACCTCAGCTGCTCCTCATATAGCTTCCCCTCCAGACCCTTCACCATCCTCATGGCCCTCCTTTGAATGGTCTCTAATAGCTTAATGTCTTTTTTATATTGTGGTACCCAAAACTGCACACAGTACTTGAGGTGAGGCCACACCAGAGCAGAGCGGAGTGGGACAATCGCCTCCTTTGACTGGCTGACAATGCTGTGCTTAATGGACCCCATTCTCTAGGCTTTTGAAAGCAGAGAGGAAACTAAGGCAGGAAAAAATACAACTGATCTAAAAGACCTTTGCCTCTTCCCCTGCTTTCTCTACAGACTGATTCAGAAGTGGAGTAGAGCAAAGAGCAGTCATATTTCAATTTTTACCTGTGAAGAGAGATGTTACAGATTGTACATAAGGCAAGAGAAGTAGCAAAAAAGGGGATATCTAAAATAGAACTTAGATGAAAATACATCATAAATATACTTCAAAATGTCTTGCTTTCTCTGCTTCTACGAAAATAAATATCTCAGACTTACCGTGGAATCTTCCCCCTCCTGCCCTGCACTTCTGACATGTACAGGCTGCCATTAACAACAGAGTATTAAAAGAAAAGCTGTGAGAAGTGTTGGTGAAAAAAAAAAGGAGTTGTTGAGGGAGGCATAGGAAGCAATGACACTACAATGTGAAACAGGAGCTGGTTTCCAGGCTAAAAGAATTCACTGTCACCACTAGCTGATTCAGTCTCCATCTTCCTTCTGACTTTCAAGATGCAGCAACCTTAAGAAACTACAGGAATTTGTAAGGACTGTGTTTGTGAAGTCATAGTGTGAGGTGAAGACTGGTGGAGTTGGAACAGGGACTTGGAAAGGAAAGGAATGATACGGAGGGAATAAGTTCTAGGCATCAAAACAACATGCTCTGTCATTACTTAGAATATGGCATTGTATTCAGATGGGAAAGAAGCAAGGAAAACTACAGAGACAAAGCGTAACAGTTTCTAGACAGGCTATGACTAAGTTCCTGTCTTTATAGCAATAATTTTAAACCCTTACTAATATGTCATAATAATTTCTTTTTTTAAGATACTTTGATTTAAAAATTAAAAAGTATCTTTTCTCCCCCCCCCCCAAAAAAAAAGATACTTTAATAGGAAACTAAGAATGAATATGTTCCAAACATGTATACTTGAAAAAGAGTTATTGCAGGAATCATTGAAGGTACTGGTTGCTCAAGCTACTAGTTGCCCCATTATGTCCTCCACGGCTAAAATAAGTCTTCACTTGCAGTTGCAGGCCCATGAGTTTCAGAGTTAACAATGATCTTAGGAGAGAGGGGAGAGGAAGATGTGGGAATATGGACAGTCAAATCATAATTCTGCCCTATCATGAATCCTAGCAATGCTATTCTGTAATGAATAATAAATACCACACCTGAATCCAAACTGGATGCAGTTTTTTTTGCCTGTCAGGAAATAAAAAGATGCTGAGCCAAAACACAGTCTAGAGAAACAGAAAACCTTTTTCTAGGTGGACAAACTGTGTGTCCAGAATACCCAAATTAAAGATAATTTTTACATTTAAAATAAGTAGTCTGTGACTACAATGAAAGTCTAGGAAAGTTACAAAAGAATTTGAAAACAGTGAATTGTGCCAAATGTGTTTTAGGATAAATGAGTATTTTATAATTTCTTTAAGTGGAACATTTCAATGTCAGTATGTTCCCTTTTGAAATGGAACAGAACATTTTGATGGCTCAATTTAAAATTATTTTCTTCTGTGAAATGTACTTCACATTATACAAAAGAGCAGAATTAAACATAATTTATCATCTTTTACCTAAATGCATTCTTTTTTTATTAACAATAATTATTTTACATACACTGTGAAAATCCAATAAAATTTGGGGTTTTTTCATAATATACAAAGAAAAAAAATTGAACCCACAGAGTTTTATAAAAACGGGAAAGCTGTTTTCTGTTTGTTTCAAATTTATAAAAAATACTGTCATAATAACCCAGAGCAATTCTTTACAGCTCTTACACTACATTCAAGGAACACCACAGAGCCTAGTTAGTTCTTCAAGCCTTTGATCACAGAGTAAGTAACACCAGTTTCCAAGAGCTACCCAGAAAAATAAAAACACTAAAATAAAAACACATCCTCAGGGAGCAAGTGTGCTGGCACAAAATTTATCCTGGGGCAATCAACTGCATAAATGTAGCTAAACATGTGCCATCTGTGAAGGAGTTTGTCCAGTGGAATCAGCAGCATTTCTCTTACAAAACACACAATTGCTTCAGGATGTGATTGTAGGCAGGTAAATTCAGGATAAATGAAGCAGTTGCCAGCCTGTTATCTTGAAATGTCTGAAATGGTGACTACATTTTGTGTGGGAGGGTTTACTACAGAAGCCGTAACACAAAGCTTCTCGATGCTTATTCCAGTGTTCAAGTGACTTGTTTACTCCTGAACAGATGGTCGTGCAACCACAGTGCACATCAGCTGACACCTTTATTGCCCTAATAAGTAACAGGAAGAATCACCAACTGGTTTCTATCTTGTTAACACAGTGGGATGTGCAGGATATAGTAAATGCCACTAAGTGTCAAAGATATCAAACTAGATGGATCCACCAGGAGTGCAGCAAACTAATCTTTCTGGTTATGTTGTCAGAGCCCTGGACTCCTTTGCATCAGTACTGGATAAAAAAGGAGTGTGTTTATCTCCTTACAGGTATACTGATCTGCGGCATTTTTTATATTTACATCTCTTAAAAGTAGCCTTGATTTTTTTTTCCTGATTTTTCTTTGCCCATCTATAACGCTGCTGTCTCCTTTGAGAACACACGCAAGATCACTCTTGAGGAGAAAAGGCAATGCAGAAAGAACCGTGTTTTGCAGAATACACCATCTAAGGAGTCTTTCTGCTGTGCCTTTTGCAATCGGACATGTCTATCTCGTATTGGCCTCACAAGTCACCAACGTTCCTGTAACAAATGTGGATAGAACCTTCTCAAATCTTCGTTCGCGAAGCCCAGCCATAAATACTGATCTGCAGCATTTTTTATATTTACATCTCTTAAAAGTAGCCTTGATTTTTTTTTCCTGATTTTTCTTTGCTTTTATGGGGTTATATAGTATAAATGGCTGAACTGGGGACCACAAAAGTTGTGGGAAAGAGTACTCACTGCTTGAATGGGATCTGTTCTTCGAATTACACCAAAATCAAGGATGGTAAGGTTTGTGGCATAGGTATGCATGTAGCTCTTTTGGGAGCTGGCAGACCCTGGGGAGAGGGGTATGATAGTATTTTGTCACAGTGTGGGAGTCCACCATGGGGTCCCAGGGTGTAGCCAGATGGGGACATGGAGAAAGGTGCACCCTCAGAGCCATGAGCAGGCTGAGGGGTCTGCACCTGCTGCAGATACCCCAGTCCTCCCGGTTTGCAGAAGAAGGAAGCAAACCGGGAGCCCTTTACACTCTGCCATCAATGAGGATTTTCTGTATAAATGAGATAATTCAGGCTTCTATGTTATTAAAACATTTACTAGACTAGCAGTGGATTCATAACTCCATCTATAAGGTGTGTTCTTTGGATCCAGAACAAGATTTGGGACATCATGTTTGACTTTCGGGAATGCATCAAATGTTGCACTGCTTAGAAACAGCCTATAGCTGCTGGAATACCTGCGTGGGCATGTTTGGTCCCCATTTTCACTTATTTAACTTAAGAAAATAACTTCTATTGGTTTGCACTACCTGTTTCTGCAAAGGTAGCCCTTGTCCAGTAGCAATGGCTGAAGCATAGCAGCCTCCCAAAACTAATAAAATGTATTTGGCTTATTACATGACCTTGTCCTCTTAAATGTACAAAGGTAAAAGGTTTTAGGAGAAGAAAACGCAAGCAAATTTCTCCATTTAGTCTCTACAAAAGATGTGACCAGGGCTACATATACACTGTTTGCATTGTGATCGCCCTCTGTCTAAAGGTATCCAGCAATCTATGTGACCCTTTTCACATACTGCTTTTCTAGCATCTATCCTTGTAGAAATGAGGCAGCAAATATAAAACAATATGTAATTTCTGGCAATGTCTATGTCTGAAACTGTCTAAATATCTATTTGTATGATTATTTAATGTAATTGTTTTAAGTCCGTTCAAAGGTAATTGAGTCAGACTAATGCCATATGCTGTAGTTTTCCGCTCAGCTAAAAAGCAGGTACAGCACAGCCTGTGGTGATGTTTGCTTTCTACTGTCACCTTGCCAGTATCTCATCTCTGAAGGTGCATTATTGAAGATATCTTTTCTCTGACACTGTCAAAATACAGTTGCTGGTTTTTTTTCTTTTTACTGTTATTAAAGCAGCAATAAAAACATAAGGAAAACAAATTATGTCAACTGTGAAAGTAAGATTTCCCTCACAGGTGAAATCTGCCCCAGAGGAATTCCAAGCACTGAAACCATATTAAAATTACTGTGTGCATCAAGGGGGAATATTTAGTGTTTTTAAGAATAAAACTCTATTCCAGAAATAGAGATTTATAGGTATGTCCAATTTTACATGTTATATATCTTATAAATGAGGAACATCAGCATTGTCACCAGCAGTGACAAGGCAGTAGATAAAAAGTTCTCCTATAAAGATAAGTATTTATTGAACCCGTTAAAACATGAACTGCAAACAAAAGTACTGTTGTGATGTCTAACATTGTTCCAACCCATTATTAGGCGGCATGATGTTTGGTATAAATTCTCATTGGGCTGAACAAAGATACCAGACATGTCACAGAACTCTTCTGTTTTTATTGTGCAGTCGCCTTAATTCTGGCAATAAGCGTATTATTTAGGATCAAATGTGGTAGCTAAAAAGCCCTTGATTTTTACAGTACACTTCAATAAGCTCTCAACTCCAACAACAAACTTCTCAAAGGTGCTGATGGCTCACAAGCCACAACAACACACTTCCAGAGCTCCGCAGTCCCATAACCAACTTCAGTACAGAATACAAGGTAGAATGTGATAGCCATGTTTGCCCAGGCAAAGCAAGGGAGGAGAGAAATAAAGGTGGAAAAAAGAGAAGAACAAAGAAGATCACCAGTCCTTAGATCCCACGTTGGTCTTGTTGCCGGGATGATCCAGAGCTGGGGCAGTAGGTTCCTTCCAATTCAACATATTCAGTGATTCTGTGATAGCGAGACAATGCAAGGAAAGAGAGGAAAAAGAATAAGGGAGCCCAATCTGCTTCCTTCTACAGTTAATCTGGTGCACACCTCTTAGGTAAACTAGATTTTTCACACTGTGTTGTTCACAAATGCACAGCTAGCCCTTTGAGCCCTCCTCCGAGCCCTCCTCCAGGAAGGAAGTCAGGGTGGTGGGAGGGAAGGAGATGGACACAGGACTGAGCATGAGTCTCAAGATGGAGCAGGAAGCTGGCTTAGAGCTGCCCCACCTCCATGGGACCCTCTCCTCTAATCATACCTTTCTTGTCACAACGATCAGAATGTGTTAGACAAAACATACTCATGCCTAGTCCTCCACAAACATGCTTCACTTTATGCACCAGATTAGGGATGCTGATCTCATGCTGACATTTTCCTGAACTTAGATGGCACTGTTTGAGGGAGGTGACCCTAGGAAGCTTCTTGCTCAAAAGGCAAAGCATTCTAAAATTTAATAACAGCAGTGATATTTTCCTTCTAATTAATATTGCTGAAATAAATCAGAAATGATATTGGCAGATTTCAGTTCCAATATGTAGTACTATATCCTCATGATTGCTCCTT